TTTATTTTATAAAAAATATTTTACTAAAAAAATATAAGAAACATAATTTTATTTCAACTCGCAATATTTTTATTGTATTTACATTTTGCGTTTTAATTGAATTTAAATCACTTAAATGAGTTAAAGAAATTTATTGATTTCTCCGCGAGGAACCCAAATTTTTATAAAATGAACATAAAGATCCCCCTATTTTATTTTAGAGTTATAATGACAAAAGAAATAAACTTAAGCAAAAAGTCCACTGTTTCCACTTCTTATCATGTTTATTAAATTATTTCTATAATCTACACATAAAAATACGTAAAAATAGTAAATTTAAAGCCCTTTAGATAAAATTTTTACCGTTATTGGGAGAAAATTCATGATTTTTTCTACAATTATCAGTTTTTTCTTGACAGCTCCAGAAAAATCAACTCCAATCATTTTCGCTATATTTTTTTTGTAATTTACACGTAAAAATACGTCAAAATATATAAATTTGAATCACTTTAGATAAACTTTTTTCGTTTTTTGCGGAAAAATACATATTTTTCTTCAAAAATTTGATAAAAATTGATCTTCAACTCCAATCGCGCTTACATTTTTTCCCTGTATTTTTCACGCAAAAATACAGTTTTACAGCAAATATGAACAGTTTGGGTTGAATATTGTGTGCGCTAGGGAGAATAAATCATTTTTTTTGAAATTTTTTATTTTTCCTTGACAACGCTATGTAAATTGATCCGAATCAAGTTCGCTATATTTTTCCTGTAATTTTAACGAAAAGATACGTAAGTGTACCAAATTTGAGCTCTGTATGTCAAAAGATGTGGCCGCTAGGTGGGGGTACATAGTCATTTTTAGGCATTTTTCGTAAAAATTCATGGTTTTTCCTTGACAACGCTATGATAATCAATTCCTATCAGGTTCTCTATATTTTTCCTGTAATCTACACGCAAAAATACATATGTGTACCAAATTTCAGCCCTCCAGATAAATTCGTGTGGCCGCTAGGGGGGGGGTACACGATTTCAAAAAAACCGCTATTAATAGGGTTCCGAACCGAGTACGGAACCTTAAAAAAAATATCAATAAAAATAATTGTTACTAATAAAAAAAATATAATAAATAAATAAATATAAAAAAAAGATATATATGGGTGATTCCACGTCAGATTTTAGTTCAAATTTTAAATTCGTCCAAAACTATTTTTTTTCATTCTTCATAGTAAAAAAACGTATACGTATACGTATTTTTTTTTTTGTGCCCAAATTTTTGAGTTATGAATTTTCAAAATTTTGGTTTTTGAAAAGTAGACCTATTTTCAACGACCTACAACTTGAAGACTATTGAATTTAGAAAAATTTCATTAAGAGAAAAAAGTTTCGATTTTTTGTCGACTTTTTAATAATGTCAAAAAAAATTATTTTTGAATTTTTATTAAAAAAAATAATAATTTTTTATAAACAAATTCATTTTTTTTCAATTTGGACATTTTTTTTTTTAATTTTTTTTTTCATTAGATACCTGAAAATAATAAAAAACGTTTGCACAAAGTTTTGGAGTGGGCCTGATGAGTTTAATAGGTGAAAATGAATTTTTAAACTCTGCGTGCAAGTTGAGCGCGCGACGTACAATCCGAATTTTGCTAGTTTAAGTAGGAGTGTTTTTTTAAAGTTAGTTTTTAATTTGTTTTTTTTATTTTATAACATATCTATTACAATTAATACTTTAAAATAATAATACTGATAATATAATTATTATTTTGTTATATATATTCAGTTTATGTTTTACGTTGAGATTTAGTACGGAACGTCGCGCTTAACTTGCACGCAGAGTTTAAAAATTCATTTTCACCCATTAAACTCATCAGGCCCACTCCAAAACTTTGTACAAACGTTTTTTATTATTTTCAGGTATCTAATGAAAAAAAAAATTAAAAAAAATGTCCAAATTGAAAAAAAATTAATTTGTTTATAAAAAATTATTATTTTTTTAATAAAAATTCAAAAATAATTTTTTTTTGACATTATTAAAAAGTCGACAAAAAATCGAAACTTTTTTCTCTTAATGAAATTTTTCTAAATTCAATAGTTTTCAAGTTGTAGGTCGTTGAAAATAGGTCTACTTTTCAAAAACCAAAATTTTGAAAATTCATAACTCAAAAATTTGGGCACCAAAAAAAAAAAAAAAAATACGTATACGTTTTTTTACTATGAAGAATGAAAAAAAATAGTTTTGGACGAATTTAAAATTTGAACTAAAATCTGACGTGGAATCACCCATATATATAATAATTCTATATTTTCAAATTTGAAACAAATAGTGCCAAAATCAAATAAATAATATAATTGGTCAATTATCTAATTATAATGGAAACCAATTATATTAACACATTAAAAATAATCAAACGAAAATAGAAATATTAAAATTAAGTAAGAAAATATAAATTTATAAAATAGTAGTGTATAAACTGTCATTTATTTGATAACATTTTGATTATTTTGAATTACTTTTGAAATTGAAGATTCGAAAAAACCCGCGTTCAATTAATATCCAATGTCGGTAAGGTAGAAAACCATATTTTCCGAATTACAAGGTAAAATTACAAACAAAACACTGTTTTCACAATATTTTTAATGCAGACGTAAGAATTAGTAAGAATAATTGTTTTTTGTTTAAATGTACGTTTCTTTAATAAATAATCATTTATTTTTGCTTTTAATTTAATTTCCCATCGTTTATGCATCCATTTAATTGCTTTTTCTTGATTAAAATCCCTACAAAAGTCGTTCGTTTCAGTGCATTTATAAGCTTATGAGCATTTCGGATACCGAAAAGTGCTTGTATCCGAGATTCTCATGGATTAGTTTACCAGATATTGATCTTGTAACCGGAATCCGCAGTTTTTGAATCTTTTATTTTTTACTGGGTGGTGTCGATCAGTGTCGGTCGTTTTGAAACTTAATGTAATAACAAGATTATTTAAGAAAACGAAAATTTTTTACTGGTGTCGATTATTGTGAAAATTAGTGTAATAAAAATAAATATCTAAGAAAACGAATATTTTGTAGTGGTGTCGGTCGTTCTGGAACTTAATGTAATAAGAAGATGTATTTAAGAAAATGAACATTTTGTAGTGGCGTCGGTCGTTCTGGAACTTAATGTAAAGACAAGATTTATTTAAGAAATCGAACATTTTGTAGTGGTGTCGGTCGAAGTCGGTCGTTCTGGAACTTAATGTAATAAGAAGATGTATTTAAGAAAATGAATATTTTGTGGTGGTGTCGGGTCTTTCTGGAACTTAATGTAATAACAAGATTATTTAAGGAATCGAAAATTTTGTACTGGTGTCGGTTGTTGTGGAAATTAGTGTAATAACAAAATATATTTAAGAAAACGTAAATTCTGTAGTCGTGTCGGTCGTTCTGGAACTCAATGTAATAAGAATATGTATTTAAGAAAAAATTTTGTGGTGATGTCGGTCGTTGTGGAAATTAGTGTAAATTGTGTAAAGATATAAATGTCCCAATTAAATAATTATTCAGGAACGTTTCGCGCTAAACATTTATTTAGGTGGGACATTTAAATCTTTGCACAATTTTCAGTAAACATTGCAATTAAATATTCTGAACATTTCAAATAAAGTTTTAGGAAAGTTTCGGTGCTGTGGGGGGAAAGGATAGTTTACCATAGTCCACATAGAGTTAGGCCAATGAACAACAAACCATCGATCAACTGAAGATTTTATGAATATTTAAGTATTTTTAATTTTTAGAAGATTATGGTTTAAAACGGCCCTTAAGCAGTCGAAACGCCATTTATTTCAAATATTTTTAATATGTCTACAAAGTATTTTTCTAATATTAAAAAAATGAAAATTAATTATGCAACAATTTTATAGATTTTTAGAAAAATTAAACAACTCGTTTTTTTGTCTAAGTACTAAACACCAACGAAAAAGGCGCGCGCAGTCTACGTCTAGTGTGTACTAAATTGCAGTTCTTATCATATACAAAAATGTAGAAGTTAAGTTTGCAATTTTTTCGAAAAAAAGACCGATTTCTTTCCTTTCTAGTTCGTAACCATCAAATCCAATCGGACTCGCTATATTTTTCCTGTAATCTACACTTGAAAATACATGTTCGTACCAAATTTCAGCATTCTATGTCAAATACTGTAGCGGAAAGGAGGAGGGACACGTAGCTGGGATGGACGCAAGAGAAACAATCTTAAACATTTTTTAACATATTTCAGGAACTACAAAACATTTTTTTAGTTTCAAAAAAGCAAATTAAAGCTCAGATTTTAAAGATTGAGATAAAAATTTGAAAACTTAAAAAATGTTCAGTTGTTCCTGAAATATGTTAAAAAATGTTCGAGCATTTTTTTCTACAACCTAGCAGCGAGGCGGCGAAAACTGATGATCGACGGCTGAGTTGTAGAAAAACATGCTAAGACCTTAAATATTGTTTTTAAAATTGTCAAATATTCCCTTATATTATTCTAGAATATGCACGCACGTCAGGCGTACGGACAATTTCTGTCGGTAGTGTATGTTTTGAATAGAAATTATTTTTAATATTCAACATCTGATGTCATTCATTAATAATTTTAGAAAAATATTTTATTGAATGTTAAGTAATAATCACTATTTTAATTTATTGAATCATGCTTGATAGATAAATAGAGACAGGAATTTTATGCTTTTAATAAAGAAAATTTATGCCTGCAAAAAACTTGCATTTAAGCTCTAATCATGCTTCAAATAATGTAAATTATGCTATAATTGTACTATTAAGAGCGCTAACTTATGCTTTAATTATGCTTTTGGTGATAATAAATTTTAACTTATGCTTAATTTGACTAAATATACGTAATACATTTTTAATTGAGTTATTAAAACAAAAAAGTATCTACAATTTTAGATTACAATAAGGAAATGGAATGCATGGAAGTGAATGTTTATAAAACAAAAAATTTTAATCTGTTAAAGACGTTTACTCTTTATAAAAAAAATTAAGTTAGATACATTTAGTTATAGTCTTATAATTCACAAACAGTCTTGAAAATATAAACTTTTTGTAATTTAACATTATAAGTATTATTTAAGACGCACTTATTTAGGATCATTGAAGTAAAGAGAAAACATCAATTCTCCATTTCCTTCTAATAGTCTGCACTGCTTTTGAGAACCAACGTCATTATATGACGAGAAACCACGTTTTAGTTTCTTCAGCTAGTACAGACTTATCATCCGTCGCCGTTTTTACAACCTTGAAATAAGCATACAATTCTCTAATCTCTGCGTAGAATCGGTGAGCGGTTGGATATTTTGATCCCTCAAGTAATAACACTAAATCGTCAACTGGAACTGTTAGTCCTTAACAAATGTTGCTTCTGCTTAAATAATCGAAATATCTTTTGTACTAAGACGCTTAAAATAATTCATGGCCTCTATTTCCCCACTTAGAGTTTTTGCGTAAGCTGACACATCTACTACATATTCGCATACGTAAACAGCAGCATGTTTCCACGAGCTACACCTTGTGATAACTGGAAGTGGGAAAAAGTTTGGTACCTTTTCTTAGGTAAAACGGTACTTATCTTTCAGATAGTTCATGTACATATTTTTTCGCTTTCTTGAATTTTTGAACATTTCTTTGACATTTTTACACATTCATTGAGTCGTGACAACTTATTACTATTTTTACAAATCTTATCCAACTTATGGTCCTAATATTGAATGTGTTCAAATGAAGTGTTTAAGAGTTCCTTAAGCAAACGCACACAAAGGTTCATATAAGGTGCACTGTCAGTTGAAATTGCAATCACGTTTTCAAAATTAACATCATACTTATTAAGAGCCTGCAAAAAATCAAAACTATAAATAAAAACATATAAATGATTATTTTTAAATGTTAATTAAGTCTAATGAAAAAATGTTTTCAGTTTTAAAATTATTAACTTACCTGTATAATTGGTTTAGAACACGAATCGTCTGTGCAAATTTGTAAGACATTTACTGCAGCTACAACATTCAGAGGTTCAACGTGTGTCCCAGAAAGCAAAATGCGAAACAGAATTTGAAATACGGCTTCACATTTTCGATTAGTGGTTTCATCACATAGTATAACGATTTGCTTTTCCTTTAATAATTTTGTAATTTCGTGGTCACACTTTATCTTTACTTGCAGTAAATATTTTTCCCTTTGCCACTTTGCACTTACAATATTTCCACCTCCTATCACGTACAAAAGTATGAATTTATCATTGTAATTACGAGATTTAAGATTATAAACTTACAAAACAAAACATTCGAAATTAAATATAAAACGAAAATTACAAAAATATTTTACAATGTTAATCTAGCCTACCTTTTACATTTTCATTTAACCATTCTCGGAAAGCAGGGTGATCCAGTTTTTCAAGAGGAATATTAGTTTTTAACAAAGCATGAACAGTATTCATGTTGAGGTAATGTTTGAAGTCGTCATTTTCTTTGCTTGATCGAAACTGTCGTCCAATATCACTTGAAGCTGAATATTATTATTATTTGAAACACTTTTTTCAGAGTGGCATTTTGAATTGCAATGATTAATTATTGTAGATCTTTTGTCCCAAATAATAGTTCAGTTACAATATTTACACATCATTATCAAAGATTTCGAGACAGAAACATAGAGTCCTTCTTGTTTAAACTCACCCGCACGATCATAAATTGAAACTTTTTTTACTTCTTTTAGCACTCATTGCTGTCGTAGGCTTAGTTTTAGGTAACACACACCAGAAACGTGAAAAAGTTAAATTAATAATTGCAGTTGAAGTATTCACAAAATGCTGACTTTTGGGAAACACATAGTCTAAGATCCGAATAGGAACCGTTCTAAAAACTAAAATAGCGATCAGTTTTATAAATATTGGTAAAATGTAATATACATCAATCGATTCGTTTTCATGCCGGGAATACAGTTTTGACAAAGTTTATTAAAAATTTTCATGAAGAAAAAAGTTTTTTCAAAACATACAAAAATTTTTTTTTTCAAAAATTAAAAAATTTATTGATTTTAAGTAAAATATAGACTTTAAATAGGTTAATCAATTCGTTTTAATGCGAGAAATCTGTTTTTTGAACAAAAAAATTATTTTTACAGTGTTAAGAAATTTTTGGTTAAAAAACGTATTTTCGAATTTTCGAAAAAGTGTCATAAAAAAATTATCTGGATATTTTTGGAAATCCTTGTGTCTGATTTTAAATATTGATGACTGCAATAAGCCTACAAAATTTCAGAACAATCCATCGAAGAGTGTTGGAGATAATGTGTACACAAGATTTTGTGACATATACACACACATATTCATATGGACATTTGTTTAAAACTTCAAATATATGGATTCTAGATAAAAATAAGCCCATGCAACCCATTTTTAAAAAATCGAAAATCGTCACGAATACAAAGCTTCCTCGAGAGGAGAGGAAGCTAAAAGGAATAACTGCACTTTTAAATTTCAGTAAGAAAAATATGTTACAGTTTTAACCTCCTTTTCAAAAATGACAGTATATTATCTTGTCCAGAGGTCTAAGAGTTTTTTTTCGCGATATCACAAAAACAACTATATGTATATTTGTCCATGCATCTGTCAGAGTGCCTACTTTATTTTCCTATTCAAATTCCCGGATATTCGATTTCAAAATATTTAAATTTCATTTACTAACAAATGAATTATTAAACAACAATGCCTTTGACTTTAATTTAATTTTAATGTAGGGGAGACTGGGGCAAAGCGGCCATGTTAACAGTTTTAAGGCTCTAGTAACTAAAGAAACTAATGAAAAACCTTTTATAATAGTTTCTTGGAAAGGTCATCTAATTGCACAACTTTTTCCTAGAGACACATGTACCTTAAAATGTATTGTTTAGCTGCTGCATCAATTTTAATAAAATTTGCAAACTGGCTGGTTTGCCCTACTCCTAAGGTAAATCGTCCACCCTTCTGGGGCAAACCGGTCAGTTTATTTATTTTTGTTTGTTTAGAGAATTAATTGTAAGGAAAACGTCACTAAATATAAAAAATCAATAAACAATCTACCGTTACTCTGCAAGCAGTTTTATTGGCTTATTAATTACTAAATTTAAAAAATAAATATTAATTATAAAATGACAACTTACAATACTTTATTATAAAAACAACACAGAAAAAAAATGGTAAAAAGTGATTGTGGGTAGAGGGTAAAATGCGTTTAGGTACAGGGTAAAAGGTAATATTGTGATGGGTAAAAATGTTACCAAAATATTACTAGAAAGATGGATGCAATTTTTCAATCTGACTAATTGAAACATAAAATACGTGTTTTCATGGATTTATAACTTAATGAAAAACTTACAAAATGTATTTTTAAGATGAAAAATCCTGAAAATGTTGTAAATTTAATAAATTTAATTATTTTTGTAAAGAAAATGTGTTTGCCAACAATGCCAGCTGACACTTGTAAACAAACAGGTTTGGGAAGCAAGTGTTCAAAACCAGAGTTGGGAACGATAAAAAACTTGTCCAACAATAATTTTCGTAAAGCATATTATTAAATATATTGTTTTACAAAAACAAAAATCTTATAGATAAATAAAAAATGTTATAAATAAATAAATATTTTTAGGTTCATTAATTAAATTTATTAGATAAACCATAAAAGATAATCAATTACTACAAATTTTCTCAGGAATGCACAAAAAGATGCGCACAGATATATGGCGCGAAATTCAAATAATGTCAATTTAAAAAATCAATAATTTAATTTTTTCTCCATTTTTAATTCTTAGATTTTTTATAAAACAATATATTTAATAATATGCTTTACGAAAATTATTGTTGAACAAGTTTTTTATCGTTCCCAACTCTGGTTTTGAAGACTTGCTTCCCAAACCTGTTTGTTTACAAGTGTCAGCTGGCATTGTTGGCAAACACATTTTCTTTACAAAAATAATTAAATTTATTAAATTTACAACATTTTCAGGATTTTTCATCTTAAAAACACATTTTGTAAGTTTTTCATTAAGTTATAAATCCATGAAAACACGTATTTTATGTTTCAATTAGTCAGATTGAAAAATTGCATCCATCTTTCTAGTAATATTTTGGTAACATTTTTACCCATCACAATATTACCTTTTACCCTGTACCTAAACGCATTTTACCCTCTACCCACAATCACTTTTTACCATTTTTTTTTCTGTGAAAATTCATTAATATTTATAACAATATGTACAATGTATTCTGCTAATAGCACCAGTAATTCATTGTACGGCCCTGAGTGTTTATAGTATTCCCCGTCAAGGAAGTTTTTCCGTAGAGCGGACTAAGACTAATGCCGTACACTCTTGGAAGTTTCCAGTGTACATAATTATAAAAACATTTATATAGAAGATTTCCAAATCTCACGTTTACCTTGTAATAGAGCGTCCCACTTCCATAACTCGTTCGACGCTCGGACGCACACTCTACTGGTTGTCGGGTAGCATCAAGTGAGCCATTGACGCTCGCTGCTACCCGACTGCCAATAGAGCGTGCGTCTGAGCGTCGAACAAGTTATAGAATTGGGACGCTCAATTATGGTTCTTACAAAACTGGAAACAATGTAATATAAAAATATATTTCGCCAACGATAAAATTATCCGTACTTATTGACAGGAATGAAACGAAACAGTAATTTACATATTACGTCAACTTTCGTTTTGAACCTTTAACTAAAATGTAATTTACATATTCAGCACGGTGAGCTTGGACAAAGTTCATCCCAAAAGTTCTTGCTCATTTAATTTTTTTTCTCATATCGTTTGAGTGATGCCAAGCGATAAATTTAAGACTAAAACGAAAAAACTTTATCCATAAAATTTTAAATAAAATCATTTTTTTTATTTTTTTATGATTATTGTATGCAGTTTTATCAAATTAAGATCTACAAATTTCAGTTTGCCTTCAGATCTTCGTATTGACATTGAGGAAAACATGCTCGAACCTTTTTAACATATTTCAGGAATCACAAAACATTTTTTAAGTTTCAAAAATGCAAATTAAAGATAAGACCTTAAAGATTATGTTGTAAAATTGTCAAATTTTTCCATACATTATTCTAGATTATGGCGGGAGTCAAAAACATTAGTACGAAAGTAAGAAAATTGCATAATTTTTTCTTGAAATCTTTTCGGTGTTAAAAATACCAAAAAAAATGAAAAAAATTTTCTTGGTGTACATTCAGAAGCAGAATTATATCAGCTTTCCAACCATTTAAGTTAGAAGTTTCTAACTTTTTTCTAACTTAAAATATCTTGCTTTAAAGTCAGCACTAAATTTCCACTCCACGCATGTCAGCCGTACCGAAAATTTCCGACGGAAGTGTATTTATAAAGCATACATTGTACTTGCAAAAAGTACGCTCCATGAGCGCGTGACTTTTATATTGTACCCCGTTTTTTGATATGTTACCAAAGTTTCCAACCAAAATAATACTTTCCATAGCATTTCTACATACATCTACTACAAGAATATGCAGTTTTTAGAAAATCGATTTTTTTGAAAAAATATGTGGTACTAACCCCTTAAATAGATAAATATAAATTCTTGTTAATCGGCCTTCTGACACTTTTATAAAATTTAACTTTTCTAAATTGAAGTGAATATTAATCAATAGTGTTATTGTTAAATTCTGTCTAATTAATCACAGTAGTCCTCAAGCATCGCCAGGTCTTACTAAAATGGATCCAAAAATTTACTGAACAAGCTTTTAGAGGACTGTTCCTAGATGTAAAAACTGTTTTTTTATAAAATCCTAGCTGATCGTTTTTTCGAAAAAACTCAAAATTATGTTTTATGATTCTTAATATTAATATTTTGATTTATTCTTTAGAATAATCGGCCACTATATCTATAATATAATTATAATACCACCTTTAGCTTACCCCAGGACCAACGACGTGGATGTAGTGGTATAATAGTCACATTTTTCTTTTAAGTTTTTTTGTTTTTTTTTTTTGTCTTTTTTTATAAATGAACCTTCTAAACCTTAATTTAAATATGCATTGATGAAAACTCGACAACTGCCTTCTTCAGCCTCAATGAATAGGAAGAGTCAGTAATAATATTAATCTTGTACCTCTCCCAGAATTTTAAAAACTCGCGGTGGATTAATTCACCTGCTTGCTCAGACCATGTGCATAGCCAAGTATTATTTAAAAACTGCAATGAGTCTTTTAAATGTGCCAAGAGTACATGAATTTTTAACGTCTCTGAAATTTGTAAGCTCAATGGAAATTTTTCATCATTTAAATTAAAACTATTGTTGATAATTTTTTTAATTAGATTAGTTAACTTTTCGTTTTTGGTTTTAGTTTTTTTGGTTTAGTTATTTTCCATAAAATAATAATTAATATTTAATAATGATCAAAATTCTCCAACAAATGAGAAGGAATCTGATGTTTCTGTCGAGGATCCAATAGCCTAACTAAAAATTGGATTATTTGTTTACAAAATGACATGTTTTAAACATTTTCAATGTCAGCGTCTTAGCAAACACAATTAGGTGTTTTTTAGTCTAATATAGAGTTACATTCAAAATTTTATTACGTTAAATTTTTAATGCGTATTTTCTACTATTATTTATTTTAAATAATATTGGGATTTAGCGATTTTCAATACTAGAATAATTTTTTAAGAATACATAAATTTAAGTATTGTGTTTTAGTGAATTTAAGTAACATTTAAAATGTTATTCCGTTCTATTTTCAGTAGAAAATCATTCCAAAAATACTTAATGTAAATCATTTCATGCAATGTAAAGCTATATTTATATTTTTGATCCCTGGGATATCCTTTTGTTGTGTGGGAAATGACATGTTACAAAAATGTCATTTGACATAAATGACATTTATGAAAATTGTCATTTGACAATAATGTATAATACAATAATAATAATGTATAATGTACTGAATATAAATATTGAAGATAAAAATCAAATAAATGATATATATATATTTTTCTATATTATCTCAATTTCTATTCATTTTAGAATAACCATGCACGAACCAATTGGTTCTAATACAATTTCGTGGCCGAAGTCCCCCTTACGATCTGGCAGATTATGAATCTCTAACAATAGTTATACAATTTTCTGAGCAAGGTATAGTTGATAAATAGCATTTGATAAAAACAAAATTTATTGACATATGTCAATAATATTTAAAAAAAGAGTAATAAAACTTTACCTTACTACATTGTAATCGTTGAGGTCAACTGATCCACACTCTTGGAGTATACTGATATTATGCTGTAATCTTAATGGCGGCAAGGATAACAATCTCGCAGTATAATTTGGGGACATAAAGTTTATCTTGGACTCCTGAAAAATATTTTATATGCTAAAAAAAACCGAATATATTAAAATTAAATGAACTTTTAACATTTTAACAGTAATATTTCTGTCAAATCTTTTCAGAGTGTTCCTAGCAGCAGAAAATTCAAATTTAATCAAGTCAAGTGATGACAAAAATTAATTAACTAAAGAAATTTTTATTAATGGGAGATTACAGTGATTTTTTTCAAAAAGTCGAAATATTTTTTTTCATTTTTGGTTACTATGACTATATAAGAACACGGAAAAAATAGTTTAAAGTATTTCCATGGTCTAGAACTGATATAAATTGAGAATCAATATGCAACAACTCACCGAACGAGCGAACGCACGCGTTTATTCCTGTTGCGTAGCAGTAAACGGCTCAGAGGCACTCACTGCTACTTGACTGGCAATAGATTACTTGAAAATGATATTTTAGAAGCCAAAGAAGGATCTATGTATATAGCCAGTATCGCCAATTAAGTAAGAATCACTTTTTTGCTTAATTTCTACTTAAAAAACTTTAAATTGGGTTTTTCTCAAAACTGCATATTTTCAACTTTGTCACACTCTCATTTTAAAAATTATTCAACCAATTTCGGCAGCCATTTTTTATTAGATTGTTTATACAAAAAAAGAAACAAAAATTGTTTTCGACTTTTTAAAATGTATATTTTATCATAAGAAAATTGTAACTAATAAATATTTTTTTTACTATAAAAAAAATCTTTGAAAAAAACCTCAAAATCACCGTAATCTCCCCTTGATTAATACTTCAGTTTAATGAGCAGGACAGACAAATTCCCTTTTAAATTTAATTACCCTATACGTTTAGTGTGAAAGTGCAGGCAACAAAAACAAACCTTAAAAAACAAAAAAAGTTGTCATTTCTTTCAAAATTTTAGCAGCTTTTAGGAAACTAAAAGAAAAACAATTTCCATTTTTTAAATTTATTAACAATATTCAGTATTAAAATGACTCTGTGGGGAAAATCATGAGATTAGAAATGATGAGATTAGAAATGATGAGTGATGGAAAGAGTGATAAGAAGGGGGTTAGTCTCCACTGAGCCATGTAAGAAGGAAGATTCCACGGAAGATTTATTTCTGTTTTAATAAATGTAATTGCTTAGTAAATTATATTTGAACGTAGATTTTATTTGTGACACTTCATATAGCTCACTTGTTTAAATTCAAATGTTTGTCTTTCAAGATTGTTTAATTTTTTAGATACAGAACCTTCAAGAGTTTTTAACAGCACATTACCGTTGCCAGTATCCAATAAATGTTTTTTTCAAGATTTTTCATTTTATTTTCGAAAGCTCTCAAACCAGCATCGATTTCACCAATAATTTCTACGTTTCTATATGATAAATTTTGATTTATTTGTCTTTCAAGATATTTTAATTTTTCTCCCATAGAGTCTTCAAGATTTTATAAAAACACATTACCGTTATCAATATCTAGAAAATTTTGATTTTTTTGTTTCTTCAGATTTTGTAGTTTATCTTTTACAGAAGATTCAAGAATTTTTAATAATACGTTATTGTTTTCAATATCTAATCTTTGATTGTTCCCATTTCCCAATATAGAGTGCGCTAATATGTATGATCCCGCCCTTTCGTATTAGTATTCGCTTGCCAGATACACATGCAACTCCTCTCTCATTCCCTCTGAATTAAACTCCTCCTCTGAATATACATTGTTTCATTTATTTACGACATTACAATTTTGGCGACGAGTATGCACCTATCGTTATCGAACTGAAAGAACTTGCTGCTTCTGCAGACTGTGCTCTCCGTGCAGCTATTGACTGAAAACTAGGGTATTCATACATATGTCTCTCTACTTTTCGCCGTGACAGGTTAGCAAAATGATTGAAGAAGAATTCAAAGATAAACTTGCCGAGGTCACCCAAAGGCAGGCAAAACTGGTGGCAACGTCCACTAAAAGGGAAACCTCTTGATCAGGGTCGGAAGTGACTCGGACAAGGTAGCTTTTACCGCCGAGGTGATCAAAACTGTTGGCAGCATGGGTAAGGTGCAGATGGTGGATTGGAAGGTTACACTCGAGATCCGCGACCTGGATTCCTTACCCATGAAGCAGAAGTCCAGGAATCGCTGGAACGAGAATTCGGAAAGTCAGGAAACAGGAAGGTGACGGTCTTAGGACCCAACAAGCGAGGGATGACGCTCGCAGTTGTTGACACCGACCAAGAATAGGCTGCCAGACTGGATGAATTGGGGAGCATAAAGATTGGCTTTATGTGCTGCCAAATAAGAAACAGACCCATGGTCCTCTGGTGTTACCGATGCCTGGGTTACGGCCATCTAGCGAGAAGCTGCAAGGAAGCAGACAGATCGACTGCGTGCTTTAAGTGCGGGGAAGCCGATCATAAGTTTGCAGATTGCAAAAGCAGCCCCAGTTGCTTCTTGTGCAAAGCACACTTCCACGGCGCTGGAAGTGGAGCATGCAGAGTCTTAAGTTCAGCCCTCGAGGAAGCCAAGCAGACTCTCGCATAACCAAAGCCAAGTAGGTCAGTAAGATCGGCAACGGCAAGGGTCGCGATAGCGAGATCCCAGGGACCTTCACCTACGAAGTTTAAAGCTTGACGGTAGCTCCGTAATGTGAGGATTAGTCCAGCCAAAGAGTTCGGTTTTTAATGGCTCAACTAGAACAAAAACGGTCATCCCCACATAACCTCGCAGCACCGGGCTCCAGATATCTGCCTTGGATACCAAGGGTTATGCAGATTTTCCACTTCCCTCGTAAAAAAATTCAAATGTTTGTACCTAACAATAATTTTAACTAACGGTTTATAAAAAAAAGTATTCAAATAAATTACAAAAAGTGTTACTAAAACTTTTGAAATAACCCAAAATTCCTTCCAGCACTTGGCGTATAAATTATCTACATAGTGTGTAGACTAAATGCAGAAAAGATTTTATATAAATAAAACAATTAAAAACATTTTTTAGTATTTTTTATAAAAAAAACCAACTTTCATGACTCATGAGTATAATAGCCCCAAACAACGGGGATAATATACCCCCCTATTGAATCTCTGAATTTTTTAAGAATTTTTATAGGATGCCATATAAATACTTATAGGAAAATGAAATAGGATTGAATATAGGAAATGACTTAGGAATTATCATATATGTAACGCTCCGCAACAAAGTTACCTAAGCTCCTAAAAATATTTGGGCCGAAACGTTTACTATAATTGAGCATTAATTATTTGGACCCTCAAGCCTATTCAACAAAATCCTACTATTTATTTTTTTTACTATATGGGGCACAATCTTTTTCCCTATTCTCATCATAAGAACATTTATTTCGAAAGCTCATATTGAGCAAAAGTCTACTTGATTCGCCAAGTATAGATTCTAGAAAAAATTGTTATTTCAATGTAAGTGGTGACTTTGCTTAGAAGTATAGTAAGGAGACGCATCAATGACAACCCTACTACTTATGAATAGAGACTGAAACTTTATGCTTCAGCATAGAAGCATAAATTTCGAAAATGTTATCTAATATTAAAATTTACATTAAAAAGTATTAATTGACAATAATAATTTCAATTTGCAAAAGCATTGAAAAGCATAAATTAGACTTTAAAGCAGCATAATCAAGTCTGAGCATATATGCCGCATAATTTAGTCATTTTTTTCTTTTTTTTCTGCACAATATCAAACTCACTATCAGAAATAATATAATATTCACAGAATATTGAAGTATTTTTATAATATTGTATTTCAAAATATTTTACTTATGAAAATTGAAAATTTAACTTTTTCACGTTTCTGGTGTGTGTTACCTAAAACTAAGACTACGACAGCAATAAGTGCTAATAGAAGTAAAAAAGTTTCAATTTATGATCGCGCGGGTGAGTTTAAACAAGAAGAACTCTATGTTTCTGACTCGAAATCTTTGATAATGATGTGTAAATATTGTAACTGTACTATTACTTGGGATAAAAGATCTACAATAATTAATCGTTGCAATTCAAAATCCCACTCTGGTAAAAAGTATTGCAAATAATAATAATGTTCAGCTTCAAGTGATATTGGAAGACAGTTTCGATCAAGCAAAGAAAATGACGACTTCAAACATTACCTCAACATGAATACTGTTCAAGCTTTTTTAAAAACTAATATTCCTCTTGAAAAACTGGATCACCCCGCTTTCCGAGAATGGTTAAATGAAAATGTAAAAGGTAGGCTAGAGTAAAATTGTAAAATATTCTTGTAATTTTCGTGTCACATTTAATTTCGAATGTTTTGTTTTGTAAGTTTACAATCTTAAATTTCTTAATTACAATGGTAAATTTATACTTTTGTACGTGATAGGAGGTAAAAATATTGTAAATACAAAGAGGCAAAGGGAAAAATATTTACTGCAAGTAAAGAAAAAGTATGACCATGAAATTACAGAATTATTAAAGGAAAAGCAAATCGTTATACTATGTCATGAAACCACTATTCGAAAGGGTGAAGTCGTATTTCAGCTGCAGTAAATGTCTTACAAAGTTGCACAGGCGATTCGTGTTCTAAAGCAATTAAACAGGTATGTTAATAATTTTAAAACTGAAAAAATTTTTCCATTAAACTTTATTAACATTTAAAAATAGTCATTTATATGTTTCTTTTTAAAATTTTGATTTTTTGTAGGCTCTTAATAAGTATGATGTTAATTTTGAAAATGTGATTTCAATTTCAACTGACAGTGAATAATAGTATAGCAAGGCCGGTTTTGGGACAGGTTCTGATCTTCACAAATCTTCACAAAAGTACCAGCAGTCGGTAACTGATCAGTCGATAATGCAGATTTCTACTTTATCAGCAGTCGGTAAGGTAGGAATCTGACAAAACATTTCGACTTGGCCGATAAGGCAGGAAACTGTTTTACCGACCAAACATTGAAGTTAGTTTAACGACCACTCAATAGATGGAAATTGAAATCATCTAAATTTAATACATTTTGTGTATAGCTTTCTAGCCATTTTTGTTTCTCTAAACCTTTTACATAAACTGTTCGTGTACCCATTCATATTTCATTCAGAATTGGTTGTAAATCTTCATAGGGTATGTCACCAGCATTCCAATCAATACCATGATAATTAAATGCAGTCCATCGATTTTGACTCTTGCATCTTCTCGGTAGGCGGCTCCAGGCATATGGCGGCTCGAAGCGGAACACCAATGGATGAGCATCTTCTTGAAGTGGGATGATTGCTAGCTCTTTTATGATAAACTCGTTATAGGGTCTTTTGAAGCACTGGAAATCTACGACGTACGCCATGGTATGTATAACAGATGAATGACTTTAGCCTCTAAGAGTTGCTCTATTTATACTCTTTTACCCCCACCCTTTACGATGCTTTCTTCACAACATTACTGATGGGTGTGTATTGAATAATTCGATCATGAATAATTAAACAATAAGCTTCTGTATTGTCTGGGAAATTTTCACTAGATTCAAATTCTAGTTTCACATCCACAGAAGCTTGTTTAAGAAATTCATTTTGCTTGGAGCAATCTATGACAGCTAATGGTGCATAATCTTTAAATTCATTCCTGGACAGTAAAGGCTCAGGATCTTTATTATAGTATGATGATTGAAAATTACAATACATCTCATAGAGAATTGAAAATTGATTTTGATTAAAATTTAAATTACTATAAGGATAGTATTGTAAATTTAAAAACAGTTTTACATTTATGAGATTACAGCTATCAAAAGTATTTGCATATCTTCCAGGATGATCTTTTTAATTTATTTGTAATCCAAGGATTACATATCGAGGTTTCTCAACCTGCGTTGAAGTTTTTACAGGCCATACATGTTTTTGAGTAGTAGGTTACAGAGGGTATTCATACATATCCCACGATCTGAAGCGAATAGATATAAGAGGATCTTTTTCCACAAATTTTAATAATTCAATTTTTTGACGATCTCCAAGGAATAGATATGGTATCAACCATTTCACTTTATTAATTATAATCTTAAATTGCTCATGCTCTTCAGTTGCCGTAATATCAACTATAGCATTAAGATCTGTACGAGATCTTGTGAGGATAAGTTCATGTTTTGCATTAACAACAATCTTTCGATAGTTTTTGGCAAATCCAAAAATCATGTTTAATAGTATGTTTACATCAAAATAACCATTCGGATTGGTTATTCTAAGATCATCATCGAATTCAAGATATCCAGCATTTTCATCATAAATTAATTGATTGGGTGTATGAGAAACATAGGCTTTCATAGTGGTTGTGAGACCAACATTTTTACAGCGATCAATTTCCACTCCACTCAATTCATAACGAATCTCATTGAATAAAAAACTAACGCTATTACTAATTAACTTTGTATTAGTTACATTAGTAATATTAGCTTTTACTAATCTTTCTGTTACGTGTAATGTACTTTTTGAGGGTAGAATGTATTGATCTTGATTTTAAACTGGAATTCGAATTTCATCACCATTATTATATGCTGGTGAATTGTAGGGTTAGTGAAAATGAATCTCATAGCGTGCTAGAGAATCATCAAATTTAAGTGGTCTAAGAATGTTTACAATATCTTCCATTTCTTTTATAGAAACAACAGCAAATAAAAAATATATTTTTATGATTAGTTTTCTTTTCTTCGTTTGTTTTCTTGCTAAACTCGTAGACCGAGCTACTTTAGGAAACGTATGTTCTGAGGTGTTAGCCTCTTGCGAATTGATTGAAGACTGATTGCTTTTTGACATGGTAGCTCGTTTATATAGCTTCTACCAGTTTTTCTGTGACATACTATACCCATTACGTTGACTTAACGTGTAATCTAATTGTTATAGTTTCACCACGAAAATTTATTAAATTTCCTTCTTGATCAACTATTCGCACTTGAATATTATGTACTGTCTTCACGGCGATTGGAAGATAAATTACTTGAGATGGTACTTCCACGATCTTATATCCAGCTGAAACAATTGGAAAAAATTCATGAATTGTATGTACGTTTTTATTGTTAATATATGCACCAGTTCTAATGCTACATTCAATTCTAACAGCATTTACATTGAGAATGGAAACTGTGAAATCTGACGTATGAATTGCATTATCTTCGAGAATGTGTGCAGTGAATCCCAATAATTCACCAATTGAATCTTTATGTGTAAAAACAATTTCACTTTTAGTCATAACTTCACAGCGTAAGGTATTATTATTTGGTTTAATACTTATTATTTGCGATCCTTGCTGAATGGAATTTTAAATATATTTTTTAATATCTGCAATTTCATAGCTAACAGTAGGTATAGTAATCACATCATTACGAAGATAAAATTTATTTTTTCCTACATCAACCTTAGGAATTGAATTAAAAGTTAAAAGTTGAACAAGACCAAGAGCATAATTTTTATTTGGAAATAGTTCTATTGGTAGAAAATATTCTGCTTCAAGGATAGATGATTTACCTGAAATAGTTACACGGGGAAAAGAGAAACGTTGATTTAACAAACTGGGCCTACTTCACAGCGTTGGCATTGAATTGGCACAGGTCGCGCAGTTAAATCAACATACCACGATTCTGCTCTATTAGCAGACGTCTGTCGCTTTGCGCATGCGCAATACTCGAGTAAATATGGATGATCAGCTGCATTGACTATAGAAATATAGATATTGCGTTATTGATACAAAATTTTTTTGCATCATGGATAATATTGAGCATTCAAGCGAAAATAATAATCCAACGAGTCATTCGTCAAGTGATTGTTTAAATTTAAGAATTCAAGAAGAATTGAAAAGTGAGTGTTTCCGTTTTTAACTATTCTCTTAATCACGCGAATAATTAAAAATGCGAGTCAATTAATTACCTCGCAAATTCATCTTGAATTATTGTATATTAAAATATAGACTCCGAATATTGGAAAAAAGTGTTTGATCGTTTGGAGGGAAGAAAAGCGTTAGCTTTGAAACAAGCAAATCAGCCTCAGTGGCGAGATCATCTTGTCGGCGTTATAATACCAGTTGAGTTAGAGTCAAATTCAGATTATAGGTAAGTTCATATGTACGTATTAAAATTTTTTTCCAATTTTAATATTTATTATTAAGATACAAGTTATTTTCAGTATTTCGAAAATTCGATTTGAACAATTAAGAAACGAGATTTTGATTGTTTTTCCGAATGAATCTACTGTAGAAAATCTCGAATATGAATGTGACGGTGGTCTTTGGTACACACCTTGCAATGGATTATTAAAAGCTCGCGGAAAATTAAATAATAAATATATAAATGAGCGAAGAGATTTAATTAAATGCGGACTTATTAATTTAGTTAAAAATACTAATGTTGATCAAACAATTAATAACGTTTACATATGTATTTCAACATAACCTCAAACTTAAACATAATTTTTAACTTTTCAAAAAATATAAGCCTATATTACTAATTTTAATAAATTTTATAAAATCAAATTTTACAACCTTTAGAGATAACCTTTTTTGTTGAAATTTTTTATATGGATTTCAATTAAAATTTTGGAACTAAGTTCTTAAAGTTGAATATAAAAATAATAAATTTCCGAAGTGTTTTCAATTTAATATTTATTTCTAAAAAAATCACTATATTTACAATATATTCCAGCTGGAATCGAGAAATTGAAATTTTTTAAACACAATGTTGAGCCATTTGAAACTATTTCGGCAAAATGGAACGCGACATATGATATTAGAGAACGTGTAGGAAAAGATTGGAACATTCATGAAAAATTTTCTAATTTCAAGGCTCTTTCTCAGCCTAGAGGTTATTTGCTGGTATGTTTATATTTTGTTTTGCTTTAAAATATTCGTGATAATTATAATATAAATTTGTTTCTTACAGCTAGAGCATGACTTTTTTTTAAACATCCTATTGAACAGGATATTCTCTACAGTAAGTGGCCCACGATTTCTTCCAAAATAATTGCTCTTAGCAATTGTAGAAAGAAAGAAGCAAAAATTAAGAAATTCTTAAAAGATCATGAAAATCTGTTGAAAACAGGTATGAATATTAACGGTAAATACAAATACAAATTTCTTTTCCTTATAATAATAGCTTTTAACACTGTTTTATTTAATTCAGATTGTCGAGAAATTGTATCTCTATTTCTCATACCAATTTTACTTCGACCAAGTACAGCAAAAGTAAAATGTAATGGAAAACACTGGAAACCAAAATTAGAGGATTCACAAGAAACGTTCATTAAGATCGTAAAGGCAATTACTATTATTATTATTCAAAATTGTTAATAATAATTATTGTTTAATTAATAAATTAAATTATTTTCTCTTATTTTTTATTTCAGTCTGAAGAGGAATTGCAGGATTTTTTGAAAAATAAAAGAGAATTCTACAATCAATGCAACACATTTCTAGGACCACTCGCTTTCGTCGTTAGATCTCTTGATGAAATTTTGGATTGTTACGTCGCCGTTGATAAAACGATGTACCTTTGTAGTACGCCTCTAAACGCTATCGACGTTTGTTTTAAAACAACTCTAGCTCTCTGAAGTGAGTATCCTTTAGAAGGCCGTTATCCTTGGATTTTTTTAGAAAAATCTGTGTACGGCTTGTCTAATACCAAAGTTGTTCCCACTAAGGTTACAGCCTTAATTGCTGATTTAAATACTCAAAATTCAGAGGAATAAATTAAATTAGCAATAAGGCTTCGTTAAGCGAAGAGCAATTTACCAAAGAAAAAGCAAAATTCGCGAACTCTGTATATGGCCAAACTGATATTCCTCGAAATGCCATACAGAAAATTGTTGTTTTATTTTCTGCATTCATTACAACTGTATTTATTTCGTACTTAAAGGTTCAGTTTAATAATGCTTGTGATAGCATGGATACAAAGAGTTTGCAATTTGAAAAAATTTGTGAAGTTTTAGATGCTAATTCTAACCCTCTACATGATATCGTTTCAGAGTACAGAAGATTTAATCTTTTGGCAAAATTTAAAATGTCTTTCAATCCGAAAGAATACATTATAGGGAAAAAGTTTCAAACTATTGTAAAAGAAGGTTGAACGGTTAATTTATTCGAATCGGCCAAAGCTCATTGGATTCCTCTAAAAGAAACGATAGTGAGAGTTTTCAGCAATGCTGAATTTTTTAAATCTGTAAAAAGTTATGTAAAACAATTATTAGACGAAACAACAGTTTTAAGCAATTTTATTAAGGGGGAATATTGGCGGGAGAAATTAAAACAATACAACGATAAAGTTTTGCCACTAATTTTATATCACGATGATTTTGAGTCTGCAAATGCCCTAGGTTCTCATTGCGGAACAAATTCAATTGGAGTTCTTTATGCATTTATTCCTTGCTTACCACCTCAGTTTGCTGCACTCCTCGATCATATTTACACTGTTTTAATATTTAGAGCTCAAGACAGGAAACAATTTGGCAATTATAATACTTTTCGACACGCAATTGATGAAATTAACGACATAACTAGTAATGGTATAGAAGTTAAACACGAAGGGAAAAAACAAAAAATATTTTTTGAAATAGGCTTGATCACTGGTGATAACTTAGGACTAAATAGCATATTTGAATTTGTTGAGAGTTTAATACCTGATAAAAATGAATATTGGATTCTATATCTAAAACTTCGCGAAATCGTCGAAATCGTTACGTCTCAACAAATTTTACACGCGCACGTCAGTTATTTAAAAGTTTTAATCGAGGAACATAATTTTCTTTATATAAAATTAATTGGTCATTTGAAGCTGAAGATGCATTTCATTTTACATTATCACAGGATCATACGTAATTTTGGGCCACTGACACAGTATTGGACCATGCGTTTTGAGTCTAAACATCGCGATTTAAAACGTGTGACCAAAAATCTCGCTGGTTCATTAAATATTACAAAATCAATAGCTATTTCGCAGTGCTTTAAATTAAATCATCATGCTTCGAATATAGATGCATCAACAGAGGCACTAGGTTCTAAAGCTCCTCGTTCATTGCAATTATTAATACACCGACAGTACGTTTGCCCGGAAACCGAATACTTTAACTGGGTTGTCATCATAGGCACTAAATACAACTTAGGAAAAGTTGTCTTACTTGAAATGCTTGACGAATTGCCAAAATTTGGAAAAATTAAAGTAATTTTCAAATTTAATGGTTCATTAACCCCTTCGCAGTCCAGTTAAAAATCGCTGGTGGGCCTAAAACGGTCCGAAAAAAAAGTTTCCAAAAAAATATGACTTCATCATATTTAAGGTTTTTGTGGTCGCTGAATTCGAATTTGAGGTCAGTTTTTCAAAATTCAAAATGGCGGATCCAATATGGCGGACAAATTTTTAAAAAATCAATCCAATTTGCCTGAAATTTGTTACTCGGGGGTATTTGGGGTCGCTAAATTCAAATTTGAGGTCAGTTTTTCAAAATTCAAAATGGCGGATCCAATATGGCGGACAAATTTTTAAAAAATCAAACCGATTTGCCTGAAATTTGTTACTTAGGGGTTTTTGTGGTCGCTGAATTTGAATTTGAGGTCAGTTTTTCAAAATTCAAAATGGCGGATCCAATATGGCGGACAAATTTTTAAAAAATTTTTTTTATAAATTTGTCCGCCATATTGGATCCGCTATTTTGAATTTCAAAAAACCGACCTCAAATTCGAATTCAGCGATCCCAAAAACCCCCGAGTAACAAATTTCAGACAAATCGGATTGATTTTTTAAAAATTTGTCCGCCATATTGGATCCGCCATTTTGAATTTTGAAAAACTGACCTCAAATTCGAATTCAGCGACTACGAAAACCCCCGAGTAACAATTTGTGGTCAAAACGCATTAATTTTTAAATTATCCGCCATATTGGGTTGCCATATTGGATCCGCCATTTTGAATTTTGAAAAACCGACCTCAGATTCGTAATCAGAGACCCCGAAAACCCCTGAGCAACGAGTTTCATGTAAATCTGATAAATTTTAAATTTTCATGGTCGCCATTTTGGGTCCGCCATTTTGTTTTTTTGAAATCTGACTTCAAATTTGGATTCAGCGACCCCAAAAACCTCCGAGTAACAAATTTCAGGCGAATCAAATTAAATTTAGTATTATTTTTTTGCGATGGCCATATATGGCCACTTGCACAAAGGTGTCACGACTTTTACTGGACACATATGGGCCCTGGACTGTCAAGGGGTTAATGTTTGCTTTTCAACCTTTTTTCACTGAATGTTTTCACGAAAAGTACAACGCGTATGAGATCGAGAACGAGAACCTTCCTAATGATTATATTGTATCTTCCGAAAATTTTAATTGTTCGCCAATATTCCCACATTTTTATAAAGATGAAAAACTGTTTGTTCTCCAACGACACATGTGAGTTTATATTTCCTACACGGATAATGTATGATTTAAAGTAATGTTAAAATTTTAACTTAATAAATTATTGTTAATAATTATTATTTCATTCTAGTTTTATTTATATCTTCAACCCTCGTCTTCAATAAATTAAAATATCTATTTTAAAAAATAGAAACATTAAAAGATTTAAAAATTAATTAAATTTATTTATAAATTATAATTATAAAAAAATATTTATTTAATATTTATTTTTAATTTAATAAAATATAATTTTATTTTCCTTAAATTAATTAATTAATTAATTAAAATTAAATAAATCAAAAAAAAATTTTAATTAAAAAATTCAGAAAATATAAACTAAACATTACATAATTATGTATTAATTAATCAGTTTTAATGTTATATTATATATAAAATTTAATTTTAAATTAAAATTTTTTATAATTATATAATTTAAATAATTTTTTTCTAAAAAAGTAGTCATTTCTTGAAATATAAGTATGAATTAATTTGATTTAAAAGGGATTGATTGATCATTAATTTGATTGATCTTAAAAGGGCATCTTCATCAACCGATATACATTGCGCATTTGCCCTTTTAAAATCAGGAACTTCAATTATGCGATGTGGTATGTTGATTCAACTTCGTTTGGTGATATGAATCAACATACTCTCGCCTAACGGCAACTTTAGGATTTAATTTAACTTACAAGGTGAGATTAAAGCAACATGCATTATACTACAGAGGTCGCCTCTGTTGGACCATTACCGAAAAACTGTTCATCCAATCGGAAATCGGTATTAGACCAACGTTTCTCTTTTCCCCGTGTAGAGTAAATAATTCATCCATGATGATGACTTTTTATAGACTGATTGCTCACATATGATGACATGTATTTATAGAGGTTATATTTGTTAGAGAATTTAAGTTGATCGCTTAAAAATTTAAGACATAAATGTCCACAATGAAAAGTATCATATCTTTGACAACTGTCATCATTATATAGTATCAAGGTATTATAGCCTAAATAACTGATAAGCTCAAAAGTTAGTTGAAGGTTACCAAAGCTGTCAAAGTATAATGCTCTATCTTGAAGCTTTTTATAAGCAACCCAATGTGTTCCGGGACCATCCTTATTATCGAGATTAATAATGTCAGATTCATTTTTTCGAGGTCCTTCTATTGGCAACTCATTTCGCATGTATACTCCTCGAAAATGAGGGATTTTTAACTCTTTAGCGTATTTGAGCAAATCATAGTTAGTTAATGCTCGTTGAGGAAGTTTTATGAGAACTTTTTTTTAAACCTAAAGAAACATCTTCCATTACTCTATTGCGAAGATGAGCTTCTTTCAACTGTTTTTTTGCTGCATTAGCTTGTTGTTTACTGCTTTCGCTATACTTGCTGTTCCACCAGCAAGAGCTCCAAGAGCTCTGAGTCTGGCAAAAATTGGAATTAATGGAAAGAGACCATCAACTTTTGAAGGTACTGGTAGAATGCGAGGTGTTAAAATCTTACTTCTACCACCTGCTATTCTAATAGCTTTTCAAGCACTTTCAACTGCAGCTTTGATTGTAGATTGAGTATCATTTCCCGGAATAATGGAATGTCTAGCAGCATCAACAATTTTTCTTAATACTGCTTGTCTCTGCTTCTTCTTATTTTTAGATGTCTTTTTTCTTCTCATTCCCATACCTAATTTTGATTTGACCGTCATTGTACCAGATATAGCTAAAGAAGCAGCTTTTTCACCTACACTGGAATCGCCAGCTAAAACTCGTTGCCACGCCTTATCAGCTAAAATCCTATCAGCAGCGTTTCTTGCTTAAACGTTATTACAATTTTCTGAATTTGCAATATCGTGCTCTTTGCAAGCTTCG